ATATATATATTATAATGATACTTCTTTGTAGTTCAAAACGATGTTGGAATGAGAGCAGTGCGGATATCCTTTATGGTGTTCTTCAGTCAGATGTGCAGCGCGAAGAATTTCTCGTAGTTGAGAGGGCCCAATGGCCGAAATATACCAGTTTCCTGTTTATGGATGTGGGTAGATCGAACAAAACTCTGTGGCGGTCTTTTTCGGTTGATTATTAGGTCCAGTTTGTCAATTTCAATTGACCTTCCATCATACTTTGGCGCCTAAATTGTGCTAAAATGTACTCGCTTTTTAAGGGAGATGATGTGAACCGAAGCTTTAGTGGATCTGATGGATTCGCGCTGTCAGAAGTTTTAGTTTGTTTTCCCGTCCCACTGATAAATATTTTTCATTGCTGAAACGAGTCTCAACGATTGGGGAGGGTGTTGGTGATGACCCCAAAATAGTGAAGTTCAGGTGGACTTCAGTAACAACGTGGTCCTTGTGAATCGCTAGTCAACCTTAGTCGAAATCCCGCCCTCAAAGTTCCATGTTCCTCCTATCCTGGAGTACTTATTTTGTAAGATTATATTCAAGTAGAAAATTTTACGCCTCATTGTCGGTAATAACTTGCAAGACTTAGCCGTTTGAACGCAGTTTTTCTTGTTTTGCTTTACCATCACCACCACCACGGAACTGTTTGGAACAGTAAGCTTTTCCCATCCCTATAATTCCGTTAACAGTCGTGCCATCCCCTCTCTTCACTCAACAACCCATATCAAGTTTCGATCCGCCGCACGGATTTAATTACCTTCTTCCATCGAACCCACTCACTTTTATCCTCCGTGACTCGTGAAACACATGAACATTCCGATTCTCTGTGTGTCTCCACGCGCAATCTTAGTCTGTCTCATTATTTTATACTGGCAATCCTTGGTTTTGCACTCTCTGTGTGCACCACTTTCATGTGTAAAAGTTGCTTTACGACAGCGCACGATATCGCATTTGTCGGTTTGTATACAACTGGTGTAAGCTGAAACCAAGTGAAGAGGGGAAATGGTTGAGCTCAATTTGGTGCTAAGGTTTGAGCACAGGTTCTCTATCGAAATTTTCTGGTTGATTGATACTATCTGCACTCGAACAATCTTAAGGTTTCCCATCTCAATGCTTCCCATAAATTTGATGAACTAATAGGACCGGATGGTTCGTTTCCTGGTATGAAACAAACCCTACATGCTTAGCAAATTTAAATCCCGTTTGGATCCAGTTGCTTGAAATGTACTCACATTCATCGCTGTTCTTCAGTGTTGTCTTTAACATTAGTAGTATAAAATGCAAAGACTATGGTTTCCCTACGATGTACCGCCTTTGTACGTAACGTGATTTCGATTTTTTTCTTCCGTTGCTTCGTTAGCCTCTGGCGGTTTTTCGCGCCATCATATTCCTTACACTCCGACCATGTGTCTTTTCCCGCTCCACCATAGAGTGCGAGGCTTCCAACTTTTCAGTGCTAATTCACCTTACTTATTAAACAATGTTTTTACTATATCTTTCTTCTGAATAGGCTGAGGAGCTGAACCGTATCATAGGCGATGCTTTCCAACTTGCCTTCATCAAACAACGAATGGCGAAAATTGCTGCTCAGGGTGACGGTAACGCTGATTCAATGGGTCCTGTTCCACGGCTTTCCGACTGGCATGAACCGTGGCCTTCCTCAACGGGTACCTTGAACCCCAACACTAATAACAACGCACTGATTGGTATTTTGGAATTGCCACCTCCTCCTTCGTATCCTCCACCCCCGGCATCCGACACTAGCGTTCCTTCAAACGAAGATTTTCCAAAGGATGTGGAAAACATAGGAAGCAATGGTTTAGGCCTTTCTTCCAAAAAGGTCTTCCAACCGATGGAAGACCGATTCGTCCACAGCAATTTCGATACCCAAGCGTACCCTTCAGACCGGAATATTCCTGAGGAGCATAATAGTGCAGATGAGCTGGAACCCCAGTGAGTTTTGTTTTCCATTGACGACCGTCAAATGTTTTTCAGCCGACTTGTCATCCAATCTGTCGACTACGTATTTTTATGCCGGTTACTATACCCACTTTCGTTTTAGTTTTTAGCACTGGTCTGTATGATGTTGGTAGACAGCCGTTTAATGTAGCTCACGGTTACACAGACACTGCGCAGAACTGTTTGTCGCGCGGACAACATTTTGCATAATGCTATTCTCGGTTCCTGCTGCTTTGGCAGATTGAGTTTATTGTTGTTCACTGGTTACCAGTAAGCCTTTCTGATAAATGGAACAACCCGTTGAACGACAGATTGGTTTGAATCTCAAGTTAATACGATCAGAGTCTGAAAATGAGTTTCGACTCTACACGAGTCCGGTTGGGTATGTCCTTCTAATGAATATACGTTAAAGTCTTAAATATCGGTCCAGTTGACCAGGCCTTTGCGCGGCTCCCTCAGCCGAAGGATGCCATGATTTATGTGTCGCACCATCTCAGTTTGCGTTTAGGGTTTTCTTACCTCTCATCTGTTTAGGGGCTCAAGGAAACTCGTTGGAATGGAGACGAATGCGCAAGGTGGTTTTTCCTTTTTGTGTGTGGACATCATGTTTCGTTTCTACACCAGTATTTTGTCATTGTAAGCCAGACGCTTTCGTCTTGTCTTGTGTCTGATAAATATGCGTATGTCCGATGCCTAAATCCTGTCGTTTTGTAGGGCTGGTGTTTATTCCCTATTATCCGGCTAACGGCCTCATCATTGCATTACAACAATCAATAATCATACCGTGTCATATCGGTTCTCGGTGCCTATGCTTCACTACGCATATGGAAGATAGCACACAAACGGAAATTGTCTGTGCTTTCCCTAATGGCACGGCTATGGCCTTGCCAGCAGGCTGATGTTTTTTTTTTCGATCAAAAGTTTCATCCATTTATTTGATATAACTTCATCCGCCGCACAAAAAAACCAAGTCCAGTCGAAAGAGGCATCTCTTATTCGTTTGGAGCTATCACGTAGACTAGAAGGGTTGTTTAAATTTCGTTGTCTGTGACCGTATGTGACTAGTTACATAAGTAGTATCACCCATCCATCGGTCGTAAGATTGTCTGACTAAATCATCCCCTAGAGAAACCGAAAACCACACTGAATGCAAATTTATTGACTGCAAACTGGTCAGTTACCACGTGGTCATATGGTCCGGTGTTTGAAGGCTGCCGACGAGAGAGTTTCACTCATTGGAAGGACCATGTTTCTTGCTTTTATTCCATTTGTTTCGCCTGAACTCCCCACCCCCAACAGTTCCGAAACAGTTGAGTCAGTTTAGTGATGGCTTGGTCATATGCTACGCAAGACGCGAAGTCATTTGTCAAGATGGATAGAGTTCTCGTTTCCTTCTTTAGAATGGGTCAAACCGAGAGCGGCCAGCTTTTGTTTGAGTGAATCGATGGACGTTTCGTGCGTTTGGCTGTAGCCCTTGGCAGATGTAGCTGCCCATCAGTATTAATAATTGTTTTATTGAGTAATTGCTCATTTAAGTATTCCAAATTGCTAGTCCTAGTCCAACTCTACTTTGTGTTTTTTCACTACATTGTTGTACGGAAGTACGATATCATTGTCAACGTTGGTGTTTCTGTCTTAAATGGTAATGGGTTCCCTACGTGGAAAATACCTTCAGACGCTTGTTGAATAATTTTGACTCTACCTAGTCCCTCAGACGCGGGGCGTTTATTTCCATTACTCATCCTCTAGGCTTTTTTATTTTATATTTCTTCCCACTGCGTCCCGATATCGTTTTCAGTCTGGGTGACACCACGTTATTTTGGGAGCTAGCAATATAACATTCCCAGGTACACGAAGTTTCATATTAGTTGTGCATTTTACACATTTTCGAGCTGATCGTTCCCTGGTGGGTATTCGTTCGTCATCGCACCAAAAGCTGTGTGTGAAATTAAGCTCCGGATGCACGTCTTTCCGGATTACAATTTTACCGTCATTACATTAGCTAGTATTCATAGTCGATGAACTACCATGCCAAGTTAAGTGCTCCCCTCCGTATGTTAAATTCACTCTCGCATGGTCAGTTCACGCAGCGAATTTCCAATAGTATAGTTTAGTGGAGAGTTGGATTCTAAGTTATTATTACTACATTTCATAGTACCTCTCGTCCCATTACTTGTGAGGCTGCGTTCTGTTCCTGAAGATCCTAGTGACCTTCGCTTGAAAGTGATGAAGTTGCTTGTTCTGTCGATTTTCATATGCAGACATTTCACTGTTGCTCACTAGCCAATCGATCGGTTCATATGACTACTGGTCTTGGCTCCCAACAGTAGTGTTTCATTCCATACCTTTTTTCTTATCTTATTTTTCTGTTATGTTTCTGGATGGGTCCGATTAACAACTATACGACACTTGAGAACGAGCGCACAAATCCTCAGCTTTGACGCAAGCCTAACCAGTTCTTGCGCAGAGAGAAGAAGAAACGAGCCTTTGGAGGGGTGCGTTTACTGTCTCAACCAAAAGCGAGGCACAAAAAAGGCACTGGCCAATAGGAAGGAGGCGTGGTCCTACTTGACACGTTTCTTGGTTTACCCCACCCACCTCGTGACTGGGAACTTGTAACTACTCAACCTACCCATGTGACATAAAAAACCTATTGTAGCGTGTGAATAACTGGGGAGTTTACTACCACGTTTTTGTTCTTCGTCACATCTAAACACGGCAACCAGCTTACTGTGGATACACTACTTGTGTCCTCAAGCAGATTAACGATAATACCTTGTGACTTCACCACATTAATACAACAATCCCTTTAGGATATACGAGTCATAACTTTGCCTCAGTAAAGTTTATCAAAACGGCCGAATCGAACAGTTTTTCCCTTTTTTTGTTTCCGTTCTTGTTCTTCATTTTCTGTTCCTGATGTGTTTGAATCAAGTGCTGCGTGCTGTGGATATCCATGTGAATAGGAACAATTCCAGCGTGACAATTTAGGATGGACTGTGACCTCAGTTTATGTTTTCCACTATTCATTCCATTTTGGAAAGTCTTTAGAATTTCCATTTGGTCCTGTTTTCGCCGAGAAAGCCTGTCTGCTTGAATGCCTTCGTCATGATTCGCGCGTTGCCCATCTTGCCTTCGAACCTTTCTCGCTTGTTTTGAAGAAGCCTTTGTATTAAATATTTAACGTTACCCTTCAATAAATCCAATATTTTGTCCACACAGTACCATACTGAATCTCTTCATTGATACAATACAAAGAATTCTGGTACGGTAACTTCACTGTTTTTGGTTAGTATTCGTACCTCGTCTCTGGTTGATCAACTGCCGCTGACATTTAGACTGTTCCGGACCAACGGTTGTACATTTGCCTATTCAGAAGCTCTTTCCTACAGGATACGATCCTTAAAGCAAGGTTGAAAATTCCTGAGGAAAATGCCAACTTATGTACTTGGTGCTTCGGCTCAATTACATTCACACTTTATTGTTTTTATTATATTATCATTCATTATTTTCTCGGTCTTCCATAGTGCGCTGAGGAGTCGATCTCATGTTTATTGGGAGGGCATCCCTAAATTTCTTGTTTTGGATTTCGCGGCTCGACGACTGTCAGATTTGTTCCGTTTTTCTCCCATCTTTGTATAGCATATGGGTTGCGTGGCAACGGCGTCTCGTTTGACGCGTTGCGTCTCACATCGTCTGTTTCTCCCGACTGTTTTGTGTTCAACTGAAACCGTGTCTGGAAGTTTCTGACTCATCGATCTGTTCTAAAAACCCCTATTCATCTTCAGGCTCGTTTTCCTGTGGTTTGTTTTTCGGAACTGTTTATTTGCGACTCGCCCCAGTTCCTTGTTAAGAGTCGTCTGAATCAGGGACAGATCCCGTCTGCCTTTCAGCTGCTTGAGGACCGAATGATGTACGGGCTATGTGGGCACTGTTTATTTTTATTCCCTCTGGTCACGCATTCTGTCGGTCTTGCATTCTGTTCCATTGTATCCGGAATAATTGCAAATAATCCAGAAAACAACGTGTTCCTACGAAAACCAACTTCCCAAGGTATCCTATTGTTGCTCCCACCCACCAGGTTCATTCTTGAACTAGGGGGTCACTATCATGCCTTATTCAACACTTATAATCCGGGGTAACTAGTTCAAATTGAGAGAGGAAGCATCGAGAAGACACGCGCAACAAAACACTGCTGCGTAGGTCTTCGGAGTAGAACAATTTTTTTTAAATTACTCGAAATTAATCTTCTACTCTAAATCTGAGTCGACTGAGTCCCGGTCTGAGTAAGACTTGAGATAGTCCGGGTTTAGAGTTCCTGCTCCATCCCCAACTCAGGCAGCGTTTACGTGGGTTTGGGCAGGTTGAATTCATCTCGATCTTTGTAATTTCTCCAGAGCAGTCATGTGCCGAGCAAGTACCGAAAGTGAGTGACTTGACTGCAAGAAATAGTTAACTGGTGGCCATTCAGTTTTCAGAGGTAGACGGTTCAGCTTGCCTATCCGGCGAACCCCATGAAATTCCCCACGAATATTTGGATTATTTCATAGTGTATCGAGTTAGCTAACGAATAAATAGACTTTTAGCAAGGTATCATGCGTTTGCTATTTGTCTAGTCCCTTCTGCATTTCTCAGCTGCGCTTACTCTTAGAGTAGGATTTCTGTATTTTATATTGACTGGGTCGATGTTTTTAGTCAGTTAAAAGCAGTAGTTCATAGATTGTGTGAAATTGGGAATTCAATCATTGTTCGAAGTTCTTTACATGATGGCCCTGCTGCACTGTTTCGAATTCTGACGACTGCTACTTATTCGCCTTGTTGAAGGTCATGCATCTAATTGCATTACATGGATAGGTACTGAGTCTGATGCACAGATACAATAAACCATATAGGGTAGCTTAGCCACTGTGTCACTTCGGGCGTCGAAATGTGTTAGGCTGTCAGCCAAGGGCATAATTCATGTCTGCATACGGTCAGCTTTTCTCCACAGTTCGAACACTTGGACTCTTCGCGAAAAAAATGCACAATAACTCCCGGCTTTCAGCTGTTGCTGCCCGCATACGTTTCTAACTAATCCGATCAATGATGGGGTGATGCGTGATCGATGCGCATCGAAAAACCAATTTACATAGAATGCACAATTTTCGTTGGCCATACCCCTTGAATATCCAGAAAGAAAACAGTTTGTGATAGTGTGTGTTGCCTATGAAGTATAAATCAGACTAGAGACGAGAGGCTGGTGATCACATTGCAGTAGTTTTATTCCGAACATTTAGTCCTCTTTTATTCTTGGTTATTTATCTCCACGGCAGCAAGAGCTCACTGCCCAGAAGCACGACTTCTCGCTAGAAATGATGAGGGTGAGCAAATGCACAAGACATCTTATTCTAACTGCAGGTATGATGCATTCTAGTCCTGGATATTATATTCAGTTGAAATGGAACGAGCTGCATGGATTCACCGATATTCACATATGCCCTAAAAATTCAACAAGATCAAAGTAATCTTTTGATTTTGTTGTTTCTCCTTCCACTGTTACTCTAAGGACTGATCATGTGACAGATAAACCTTTTTGCTGAATTTCCGTCTTTCCTGAACGTATGGGATCAATAAGTGGTCTCTTATAAAATTATTAAGTAATCATAACCATAAAACTAAAAAAACTCGCAGAGCTACCAAGTGGTTGGTCTTTGGGTTGATACTGATGTTGATCGTTTAGAACAAGTGAATCAGTGCCTTCCATGGAGGTTTCGTTCTGTAACAGCAACCGAGAAGCACTGTTCAGCGGTTTTATGCTTGGGAAACGTCATCAATGCACATCTCACGAAACTCAACGACCTTCGAAACCACGACCGCCTGGTTACTAGTCGAACGCGACCGTTATGCTAAAATGGACTAGTCAACACTCATAGTGGTCCTAGTTCCTGTATTTTAACCTCTATGGACCATGGAAACTGTCATGCGGTTACCGGATCGTGCTGTCGAAAAGTCTAGGGTTGAGTTAAAGCTATTCTGTTTTAGAGCTGGCATTGCTAACCACCCGCTGGACAGTTCCCTCTGATACCAAACATTACGTCTTTTGGGGCTAGTTTTTTTACGATTGCTGAAGTTTGTTTCAATGAGTTCGCAATAAGAATATAAACCGGGAATCCAGCTTGGATTCAGTTATGTCTATCGTTAAATCCAAAAGGGTGTGCAAGTGAGTGCAGTTCGCGAATTCCGTGTAATTTGGGTTCACGTAGAAAACGAGGTTGACGGAAACTTGGGGGATGTGCCTACCGGCTGAGCCCTAAAGAGGGCATAACCAGTCGTGGGCTGTCAAACAGTTTCCAGCAGCCGTTCGAGTAGTTGCTTTCATGGGAATATACTACGATATCTCGAATTTCGCACCAACTGAAACATGAGGTGCACTGCTTTCATTTGAAGAATATTATAAACGGGAGATTCAATTGGGGTTTGAGTTGAGTCCATCGTTAAAACCAAATTGATGTGCAAATGAGTGTACTTGTTGTAGTAGATATGCATTCAGCCACCACATAGCTAATTCTTTTTGAGCCTTATTGATTGTGAAGTTGTCTGTAATGATTTTTTGACCAGGACTTGTTCGGCAAACCCTTTTGAACGGGTAGTCATAATCCTCTTGGTATCAGTTCTCAGAACTACATTCAATTGTTAGGCAAGCGGTCTTCGGTTTCTTCTGTACTCAGTGGAGATCAGGTCTAAACCATACAATTATGTATTTTTGCCCGTACGATCAAAGCGAACGTGTGCTCGGTGCATCTAGGCTTATGGCATCATTGTGCCCTGATATACGATCCATCTAGCCAGATATGATAATACGGTTTTGCTTTAGTTTTCCAGTGGTTTACGCGTAAATGTGCATGTATTTTGTCACGTGGACGTCTTTTGGCTGTCATTAACTATCTAGCTTGTACAGTTGTGCTAGCAACAGGGAGTGTTCGCGATGTTTTGATTTGATTGTCCACAATCTAGTTGTTTTGTTATACTCCGTATTACGAACCGAATTGTTTTAAATTATAGATTTTAATGTCCTCCTTTTTAACAGGTTGAACACTATTTCCAACGTAAACGCCCCAGTTTTCGGCGGTTTTCGACGGCGCCACTTTCTCCGTATGTCTGAAGGAGGGAAGCGCTTTTCCGGTATATCTGATGCTCAAATTGTTGGTGGCAGTACAAGACAACCAAAACGCCGTCAGGATCGAGGTTTGGCTGGCTTGTTCTCCTCATCGCGGCACAGCTCCTTCTTCCCAAATACAGGAAGTAGTAAGGAACCAAATGCACCCGATCTTTTGGAATTGTTAAGCGCCCAAAATTCACCACCAAAGCCACATATCTTTCTCGACTTGCGTACATTTGCCGGTGGCAGTCCAGTTGTTGCACTCAAGGAACGTCTGGATGCCCAAGCGGTTGCTGACGCAAAGGCCTGTGCGTTCGCTGAAGCAGCCGCTGTTCTGGCTGCCGCCAAAGAAGCCACCGGGGGCCCTAACAATGCGGAAAGTCTGAGTGGCGGTCATCCCAGAACAGACATCCAGAGCGGTAGCCCGGGGTCATACCCAGTCACGTCGACATCACCTTGTTCAACGAACTCAACTCATAGTGAACCAAGTAGGCCTATCGTTGACTCTAATGGTTCGATGGAATCACCCCCTACTCCTCCAATAAGGTAAGTTTTGTTTGACCATTAGATTTACTTGCCCAGAAAGTTCCTAGTATCTCTGGTACTCTGGTAATAACGTGTCGACCTGGACACTCAATGTAATTCGCGTTAACGTCAAAAAATAGGTCGTTTCGAACTCTCATTCATTCTCCGAGTTCTGAGGTGTCTACTACTTATGCCTTTTTCGCCTGTATGTATCTATGGAACCTTAACACGTGTAAGCTGGCTTCGTGGGCTTTCCCATGTCTATTTTGTCTCCTTGAAACTAGTCTTTATCGTCGTATGCGTTATTGGCACTAATAATTCGCAACATTGCATTCATCACATGCCAGAGAAAATTGCAAGAGGGAAAGAACCTGATGCAGTCTTCCACAAGCACTTTGAGATAGTTGTAGCTACAAACACTCCATCAGACAGCCTGCCTATAAATGCTACCTCTAGCACTAGTTGAAGGTCATCTCTTGCAGCGTCCCTAATGGGATTTGCTGTGAAGGGCATATTGGCCGATGGTATTTAGGTCAAATTGACCGTTACCCACTTGTTCGTTTGCGCTCCTTTCGGTTCGGATGAGTTAATAAGCTCATCGTTTTCTGAAGCTGGTGCAGTATCTGTAGTGTTGTCTGGCCTTCTGCAGCTGGAGTCGCTGGTTAAGAACTCCTAAGTGAGGTGCATTACGCATCATCCGTCATTCATTTTATCCGACAGTTGATTGTGAGTGCTCTCACACCAGTTACCTGTGAAAGGAACAAGGCCCTTCCTGTGGAG